ATATGTACAGTATGTATAGGGGCATAGGTGATCAGGTGGTCCTTAGATTAGATCATTCATTCAAGCAACTCATTGCTGTAAAATCAGTCAATATAATGGAGCTGTGCATGAGACAGTAAAGCTGGACTCCAGGCAGATATAAAAGTAAATGCCGTTCTCTATTAATTAATACAATATTAAGTTCTCATGCACACTGGACGTTTCTGTTTTTAGTGGCGCCTGTAGTTTTTTTTTTTTTTTTTTTTCTACTAAACACCCCTGAATGTTAGCCTATGTGTCCATGCATACAGGGCATACGTGGCAGCACAGCGGTAAATGGTTAGCACTTCTGCCTGGCAGCACTAGAGTCGTTGGTTCGATTCCCAGCCATGGCACCTCTTGCCTGGAGTTTGCATGTTCTCCCTGTGCCTGCGTGGGTTTTCTCTGGGTGCTCCTCGGTTTCCTCCCAAACCAAAGACATGCTGGTAGGTTATTTGGATTCTGTCTAAATTGTCCCTAGTACATGTATGTATGAATGTGAGTTAGGGACCTTAGATTGTACGCCCCTTGAGGGTTAGGGACTGATGTGAATGTACAATATATATGTAAAGCGCTGCGTAAATTGATGGTGCGATATAAGTACCTGAAATAAATACATAAGCATTTAGAGGCAGAAAAAACCTCACTGTCAGTGCATCCAGGAGCAACAGAATTTTGGCAGAAAAAACAGTTGACACACACACAAGGTGTGTGAGGTACTTGAGCAATAATTAATTTCAATGGCCAGAATAAATTCTCATTCTGGCCAATTAATTTAATGCCCAAGCGCTTGATGGGTCTAAATGGGGCAGCACAGTGGCTAAATGGTTAGCACTTCCACCTGGCAGCACTAGGGTTGCTGGCTCAAATCCCAACCACAGCACCACCTGCCTGGAGTTTACATGTTCTCCCTGTGCCTGTATGGGTTTCCTCCCAGGTACTCCAGTTTCCTCCCACACTCCAAAGACATGCTGGTAGGTTAATTGGCTCCTGTCTAAATTGTCCCTAGTATGTGTATGTATGAATGTAAGTTAGGGGCTTAGATTGTACCCCCCTTGAGGGTCAGGGACTGATGTGAATGTACAATATATATGTAAATTGACAGCACTATATAAGTACCTGTAATAAATAAATGCATCTAGATGTGTATACAAGCATCAGGTATTTTTTTCTGCCAAAACACTGCTGCCAGGAGGAAAGACGCCTAGGAGGTATGGGCAAATTCCCTATGTGCATTAGGCCTAAATGTGCTTTTTATTTTTTATTTTTTTTACTGCAGGCAGCGTAAGTACCTGCATTTGACCTGATATCAGCCTCGTGCAACAGTTGCACAACAGACCTCTGATCGGGAGAAAAGCTACACGAGGAGCCAGTCAGCTGTCCTGCAGTGTGCATGTGCTAACTATGGGCATGCCAATAGGAGGAGAGAGCAGTGTGACAGAGGGATGAACTGCTTTCTCTCCAGTGGCGTAACTAGAACCTTCAACATCCCAGTGCAAGAAACCATGAAGGGCCCCTCTGACCCCAAGCGTGGGCCTTCCCTCTGAGCCTAGTGGCAGAATGCCAGGACCCGATGCAAGTGCGACCTTTTGTGATCCTGGTAGTTCCACCACTGGTGTCAGTAGCTTTTTTTTGTTGTTGTTTTTTTTTTGTTTTTTTACAAAACTATTTTTTTTTAATAATTGTTATGATTTTTTTTTTTTCTAGGAGTCCCATTGGGGGATTTAGGTTAGATTTCAGGGGTCTTAACATACCTAAGTTGGGAAAAGTGGAAGGAAGGAAAGAAAGAAGTCCACAGATACCCCGTTGCCTCACTGGGAGGCAGAATTGAGAAGTGAAGGGGGAGACATCACCCACAGTGAATAGATAGATGGGCAGGCTGCCCCTTTCCGCTTCTCCTCTTCTGGGCTTTTCAAAAATCCTACCCATATATCTCCTTCTCTGGGGCACAAGATTGCCAGGGAGTGTGTGCGGGGCAGACACAGGAGGAGGGGGGCAGGAGAAGAAGGAGCAGAACCAGCTCTCCTCTCTTCTCCCATCCATGGGAAGACAGGCGGAACTGTCAGCACTGGCTACGTGATTTTGCAGTTAAGGGTAGGTGCGTGTGCGGGCCACACGCATGCCCTACTTATGCCGCCATTCACAGCCTCGACTGTCTATCACTGGGTCCCAGACAGTGATTACTCACTGGCACCCGGTGATCACCGAGGATTGCAGAAAGGGGAGAGACCTGTATGTAAACAATACAGATCTCTCCCGTCAGATCCTGCACAAAAGCAGTGAAACGCACACACCGCACACTGTGAAACCGCACACGATTAACCCTTTGATTGCCCCAGATGTTAACCCCTTCCTGCCCAGTGCCATTAGCACAGTGTCAGTGCTTTTTATTAGCATTGATCAGTGTATTGCTGTCACTGGGGATCCCCCCCCCCCCCCCCCAGTGTCAGAATGCCTGCCGCAGTCCCACAGTCTCGCTGTAAGTCGTCGATCTCTGCCATTACTAGTAAAAAATAAATAAATGCCTGTGTATATATACCACCATTTTGTAAACCCTATAAGTTTCATGTAAACCAATTAATTTACACATATTGGGATTTTTTTTAGTAAAGACATTTAGCAGAATAACTTTTGTCCTAAATTTATGATGAAATTTGATTTTTTTCATTTTTTTTTTTATTGGACATGTTTAATAGCAAAAAGTCAAAAATATTATTTATTTTCTCAATTGTCTGTCTTTTTTTTTTTTTTTTTTGTTTATAGCGCAAAAAATTTAAAAAACTCAAATACCCAAAAGAAAGCTCTATTTGTGGAGGAAAAAAAAAGGAGGTAAATTTAATTTGGGTTCAGTGTTGCATGATTGCGCAATTGTCAGTTAAAGTAATGTAGCGCCGTAATGCAAAACATGACCTGGTCAGGAAGGGGGGTACATTTTCGGAGGACAAGTGGTTAAGACTATGCCCCAAGTGTGTTTGTGCTCCTCCCTGCTTGAATTATGTGTGTGCTGACTCACCCGAAATCACTGCAGGAGGTCTCTACCTAAAAGGGGTCTAGCACCTGATGACACTCTCTTCTGTAACCAGGCACTATTCTGGTACAGAGCCACCTAAGGGGCAAAGCAGCGAACTGCACCTGCCTATAGAGTCTGTGTCCCCGTTAGGGAGATTTCCCCTCACTTTCTTTCCAAGTGATAAGATGTCACTAGGACAGGAAGTAATTGGATTTTGTTTTGATAGGGACAGCGAGCAACATTTATTTTTTATTACAGGCACTTATATAGCGCTGTCAATTTATGCAGCACTTCACATCAGGGGCGGACTGACAACTCAGGGGGCCCCTGGGCAATAGGGGATCATGGGGCCCCTGTGTCCTTGCCCAAACTCGAAAAAGGTACCTGGGGCATCTTATGGGGCCCCCTACTGACCCCAGGCCCTCGGGCAGTGCCCGAGTTTCCAAATGGTCAGTCCGCCCCTGCTTCACATATATATTGTACATTCACATCAGTCCTTAACCCTCAAGGGGTGTACAATCTAAGGTCCCTAACTTACATTCATACATACACATACTAGGGCCAATTTAGACAGGAGCCAATTAACCTACCAGCATGTGTTTGGAGCGTGGGAGGAAACCAGAGTACCCAGAGGAAACCCACGCAGGCACAGGGAGAACATGCAAACTCAAGGCAGGTGGTGCTGTGGTTGGGATTCAAACCAATTACCTTAGTACTGCCAAGCGGAAGTGCTAACCATTTAGCCACTGTGCTGCCCCAGAAGCATGTTTATTTAGCAGAGCAGGGAGAAGCTAGTGAAACATATGTAAGGTTTTGAATGATTTATGCGTCTTCCTCTCCCTGTGACACTTACACCTTCTAATTTCTTCTCCTGGATCAGGAAGCAAGGACACATTTCCCTTAATGTAGACAGGGGAATAAAATTTGGACAGTGGTTCTGACTTTCGGCTTTTGTTGAGATTGCAATCATTGACTCATCTGACCCTAATTAGTCAGCCACAGACAATTTAGCAAGATGTGTGCAGCTTATAAGAAATGGGGGATTACACTGTTAAAAAAGGGTACAAATGCACAGCCATTAAACTTCAACCCCAGACAGTTAAAATTGTGTTTCCTAAATATACAATTGACATTTTGGCTTAGGCCTGGTTCACACTAGTGCGATTTCAGAAGCCGCTTGAGTCGCACAGAATTGCATGACAAGGGAAATCACATTATGATCAGTGGTGCCCGTTAACATCAATGCGACTCGACACAGAACAATTTTGGAAAAGGTTCCTGAACTACTTTGGTGTGACTCCAATGTGATTTTGGACCCTTAGACTCCAATGTGATTTTGGACCTTAGACTCCAATGTGATTTTGGACCCTTAGACTCCAATGTGATTTTGGACCCTTAGACTCCAATGTGATTTTGGACCCTTAGACTCCAATGTGATTTTGGACCCTTAGACTCCAATGTGATTTTGGACCCTTAGACTCCAATGTGATTTTGGACCCTTAGACTTCAATGTAAGCTCACAGAAACTGCACCCACATGCAATTTTATGTGATTCTGATGTGATTTTTGAAAGCGATTTCAGTGGTTTTCTAACTCTTCTCCCAGGGCCATCCTTGCTCCCTCAATCCAGAGACGTGAATTCCACATCTAAGTCTCTTCAAAATCGCATCAAATCACACTACAAAAATGCACATGAAATTGGGTCAAAATAGTATTGCATTAGTGTGAACCAACCTGTGACTGATTTGCACAGAGTTTGTATAAAAATCCATTGCATTGATCCACAAAACACGAGATGATGCCAAATTATGTGTATTAGTTTGAAATTATTCCAGTTCCACAAAATCTCGTAAATTATATTTTCTTAGAGAGAAGAACTGATTTAAAATAGCATCCCACATGGAAGAAAAATATATTTGAAATATATTTTAAAAATATTCTTCCAAAATATATTGACATAAATTTGAAATACTACAATTTTGGCCGTATTCAAAATATCTGAAAAATATTTTTTTTAAATATATTCTTCAGATTTATTTTTTTTTTTTTTAACATATAAAGTCATTTTAACATATTTTTACATATGTTTGTAAATGCATTTCAAAAATGTAGATTAAATGTATATTTAAAGACATACCGTGTATTTGAAAATGTATTTTTAAAAATATTTTTCATATATCTTGTAATAAACACATTTCAACATTTTAATATAAATATATATTTATTGAAATATATTGAATATGGCCAAAATTGTAGTATTTCAAATATATGTCAATATATTTGGGAAGAATATATTTTTCTTCCATGTGGGATGTTTTGTTAACCTCCTTAGCGGTTTTCCCGAGTGTAGCTCGGGGTAAAATTTGAGTACCTAGAGCGGTAACCCCGAGCTATACTCGGGCTTACCATGCGGCGTTGCTCAGGGGGTCCCTGCAGCACTTACCTTGTCCTTCGCTCCCGCAATGTGTCCCCTGCAGCATCCCCGGCCATCTCCTCTGGCCGATGCCGGCATCCGGCTTCTGTGTTCCGGTCCCTGTGACGTCAGGACGTACGGGCGGGAAATTTGAAATTTTTTAAAAATGTCATTTTTGCTGTCATTGCTGTTTTCAATGCATTTCACATATATTTTGTCCCTACTGTTTTGTCCTGTGCCCTGCCTGCATTTTGACTGTTCTTTCTGCCTGGAAACTTAGAAAAGTCCATGGCGTCCAAAAAGCGTCCCTTTACATCAAAAATGGTTTTAGAACAGCGATATTAAATCAGAACCACTTGCAGAATTGAGTGATAATGATTCGTGGGGAAATTCGTCATCAGACACTGAAAACGATTTTGCGACTTTGCTCAGCGATGTGCGAATTTGCCTCTGTATTTCAAATTTCAGTGTTTTTGGTTTGATTATATTATTGAATTAAATTTATTATTATTATATTATTTTTTATGATTATTTATTAAATTATAATTTATGATTTCGTGTTTCAAATTTTATCATACCCGGGATGTTTAATAGACTCTTGTTCGGACAGATTTCAGTGAGTTATTCCTAAAAATTACAGCCTACAATAAAAAACTACATATTTCCATGCAAAAAAATGGTACCGCTTTCAGCACAAAAAATCTGAAAGAATCATACCGCCGAGGAGGTTAAATAGAACTGTTAGTAGTATGGAGCAGGAAGGGCTGAAACCACAATTGAGTTTTTATTGCTGTCTACGTCTACATGTTGACATAAAAATAAGAGGAAAATGGAGACATAGACAGTATTGGAAATCTCACCCTTTGCCACTCAATTCAAAACTGGCTGGATTTCTACTCTAACCCCTTGACGCCGACTTAACACAAATATGCGGCCTCACAGAACTGGGCTTTTTTCTGTGGGACCACATATTTGCGTATTTGTCTTTGACCCAAAGCTCGCCCAGGACTCCCAATTCCGGGTCACATGATCGCTGTGATAGCCTTGATTGGCTATCAAAGAGATCATTCACTGTACAGCCCAGCCCCTTTGTTTTTGTCTCTCTCTGAATGGAGGAGAGAGATACATTGTATCTCTCTAACTCCTGGGATAGAGGGGAAAAAAAATGTTTGTTTAAAAAAATAAATAAATATTAAAAAATAAAGAAAAAATACCTAGATCAAGGTTTGATCTAGTTCAGTGCCAGGGTTAGTGTTTGGGTCAAAAGGTCAGGGTCAAAGGTCAGGATTTAAACAACAAATTGGTATTAGTGTCAGTGTGTTTTCAGGTTAAAAAAAAACAAAAACAAAATGTGCACTATTGTTTCTGGGCTGTACTACGGGTACAAACAACAAATAACATACACATATATGGTATCGCTGCGATCGTCAAGAGCTGGAGAATTTATTTTGGGTTGTTCTTTGGTGGTAGGTTATGGTAGTAACAAGAAACACACAGCTAAATAAATAAAAAATATTTTTTTTTACTATTTTGGGCTAGTTTTCCTTTGATAATAACAAAAAAAAAATCAGGAGATATCCATTACCATTTACCACCAAATGAAAGCCCAATTTGTCCTGAAATTCACCTGAATGTACAAAGTAGTTGTGATGATATGTATGGTTTTACTAACACATGTCAATGTTGCAAAATTGTGCTTAGGCATTTTGATTTGTTTTACCCTTTGGCGTGAAAGGGTTAAGAAATAAACAGTTTTAAAAAAAAAAATCATGTCATTTTCGTTCTACTTTATAAAGCATGCCGATTTAAGGGAAAAATCATATAATTTACAGTTTTTGGAGATCTACTCAAAGACCACAATTCCATGTCTATGAATCGCTTTCCTGGAGACAGTGCAGTCACCAGCAGGACTCTCCAGCTGTGCCCTATCTGTTGGTCCTGGCCACTCTCAGCTCTTCTGGAATCCCCACACTGAATTCTGCACAATGTTATCTTGATTACACAGTTCTGCCCTTTGCACGATATTGGCAGACACATGACACTGCTTGTAAGAATGTGTTGTGGTGACACTTTTTATTAGAGAATGATTTGATAGGCAAGTCATAAAATGTCCACAAACAATGCAGAACAGTTAAAAAGAAATCCTTAGAGACTTTACTTTAACAATTCACCCAAACATAGAGGTATGTACTGTGTCCCACTGGTGGGAGTGAGTCCATTAAGACTTTGTTCTGGGATTTCTTAGTCATCCTACAGTAATGGACTCCTAAGAATTGGAGGTGGATATCAATCAGTTCAGTGATGTTCTGGTGAAAGGATAGTTTACAATGCCTGTTGAGAACAATAGGCGTAACAGACTAATAATAATACTAACAAATATATCTTGCCATTAACCACCCAATATACACAATGAGCTGTTTTAGTTGGAAGGGTAAGGCCGTAGCTTTATTAATATAGAAAGCATACTTGTTCAAACAATAATGGTGAACAAACTGAAAAAGTACAGATGACAACAACAAACCAGTGCCAGCCACAGATGAATTGTGAGCACCCAGCATAACATAGCTTAAAGCAGGGGTGAAGAAATCTTTTGAATTTCCTGGGCCACATTGAAAGAAGAGGAATTGTCTTGGGATATATATATGTAATGCACTGCATTAATACTGGTTGCAGGATGCTAAGTGAACACAAGATGGCAGTGTTCTGCGGTTTAGCTATGCAGACTCCATTGAAGAAAAGCCTTGTTGAACTGGTATGCTGTAGCAGGATCTTTGTGCTCAGACAAGGAGTAAACAGACTACATTTCCCAGAAGAGCTGGCAAATGGGAGGGAGTGTATATATTCAGGAGCCTGGGAATCTTACAGGAATGAATTGCTTGGTGAAGAACAGAGGACGGGTGTGTGGAGAAGGCTGTGCGGGATGCTGGAAATCCAGGCCGGGACAAGTGAAGAGGGACTGCAGACCACTGGTTGCACTGACAAGCAGGACAGACAATCCTGCGGGCAGGCGGATCGTGGTGCTGCCATCGGCATTACTCCTTAACCCTCCTGGCGGTATTCCTGAGTGTAGCTCGGAGTTAACTTTCAGTACCAGAAGCGGTAACCCCGAGCTACACTCAGGATTACTCTGCAGCGTTGCTCTGGGATCCCTCCAGCACTTACCTTGTCCTGCACTCCCGCTATGTCCACCCTGCAGTGTCCCTAGCCATGTCCTCTGGCCGATTCCGGGTTCCGTTCCCTGCGAGCGTCGGGACGTACGGGGGACGAAATCAGCGGGAAATTCAAAAATGTAAAAATGTGACATTCACCCAATACACTAAAATTGCATAGTAAAACATTACTGTATCAAAGCATTTCACATACATTTTGTCCCTAGTGCTTTGTCCTGTGCCCTGCCTGCATTTTTACTGTTCTTTCTGCCTGGAAACTGAGAAATGTCCATGGCGTCCAAAAAGAGTCCCTTTAGGTCAAAAGCAGTTTTAGACCAGCTATAGAACAGCGATAGTAAATTAGAACCACTTGCAGAATTGAGTGATAATGATTCGTGGGGAAATTCATCATCAGACACTGAAAACGATTCTGCGACTGAGCTCAGCGATGTGCAAACTTGGCGCTCTATTTCAAATTTCAGTGTTTTTGGTTTGATTACATTATTGAATTAAATTTATTATTATTACATTATTTTTTATTTAATTATTTATTATAATTTATGGTTTTGTGTTTCAAATTTTATCATACCCGGGATGTTTACTAGACTCTTGTTCGGACAGATTTCAGTGAATTATTCCTACGAACTAAAGGCCTACAAAAAAAAAAACATATTTCCATGCAAAAAAATGTAGTGCATTGAGCACAGAAATACTGACATAATCAGACCGCTAGGGACGTTAAAGAGATTCCACTTGAATTCAACATTGCTCCAAGGAGGAGTTTTCTTTTTACTGAGATCACACCATTTTGAGGGAAACTTGCTTTCACACAAGGAAAGATCTGAACCTTGATGTGCACTACCTAGGGCCCCATCAAGTACACAGAAGATTGGACACTTTTGCTAAAACAGATACCAAAAAAGGACATTGTTGCTTTTCATCAAAGAATTCATCTCCAGAGTTAAACCCAGTCACCAGTAACTGAGAGCCCAAAAGTGAGTTAGTCTGACAGTGTGATAGTTCTTCCCAGCTCACTAGGGTAGAGATATCTCAGAGGCTGGTACTGATGCTAAATTCTGATCGTGTAGGACATTTGGGAGTTGCTTACCCACATGGAAGAAAAATATATTTGAAATATATTTTAAAAAATATTCTTCCCAAATATATTTCCATATATTTGAAATACTACAATTTTGGCCATATTTTATTTATATATATATATATATATATATATATATATATATATATATATATATATACACTGCATGTTGAAATGCATTTTTATTGCAAAATTATATAAAATATAATATAAATATTTTTTAAAAATACATTTCAAATATACTGTATCTTTAATAATACAAATGTACATTTTTTGGAATGCATTTATAAATATATGTTAAAATATATGCTAAAATGACTTTTTAAAAAATATTATTTTTTTAAAATATAGTCTTCAGAATTTTTTTTAACATATAAAAAAGTCATTTTAACGTATATTTTTACATATATTTGTAAATGCACTCCAAAAATGTAGATTTGTA